ACATACATACAAATTAGATTTACAACCACGCAAGATTTCTACGAAGAAATCCTCAAGTGAGTGCTGTTATAGCAGAACAGACTTCTAACCATGCATAACTCCAATAAAATGCATTTGCTCAGCTGAATACATTTCCATGTTATATTTTTTATTATATTTGTGCTTGAGATTGAACAAAAGCTATAGCTGTCATTATGGTATGCATTTCTAAAATATTGAAACAATTTTGTTTATTTTTTAGATGCAAGCCAAGCTTGTCGAGTTGCAATCCAAACTCCAGGGAGAAGAGAATGAAAGGAAAGTCTTAGAACAAAAATATGAAGAAGTATGTCATTTTTATGCTTGAATTTTTTATTTTTCTATTGTGTAAAGAAAGTAGAGATTACATATTAAAGAACCTTTTGTAGTTATGGTAAGGTTTCAGTGATTTGATTACATTGTTGATAGTTAGAAGCATACATTATCACATAAATCTATATGTTAATTAGTTATTTTATAACTAGATAGTTATTATATTAACTTGTAATTTGCTGCCATTCTAAGATAAATCATGAAAAGATTGTTTGTGGTGGTGTTGACCAGGACTACATCCTAGGTCTTTTTGGTCGAAAGGCTGGTGGGCTACCCACTTGTCTGGGATCTCCTGGATTTTGGATAAGTTAACGAAAATGTGAGTTACACATCAAACAACCTCCATCTTTAAAAGATGGTTTTTAAACGTGTGGATCATTTAGAACATGTCCTCTGAATTGTTGATTGATTTTTGTAAATACATGTATTAGAAGATCAGGGTTATTTTAGAAATAAGAATGGTTTTTAAAACTTTTTAACATTGCATATATTTCGAAAGATGTTGTGTCATACTTTCTTGACACTTCATGTTCAAAGTTATGGTAAGAGATGTTTTCAAGATGTATTAATAAGAAGGAAGATCATTCTCAAATTTACTATGTTTTTTTGTTAAGTTGTATAATTATAAGAACAAAGTTGTGTTGTATGTCCAGGTTTCCAGAAATTCCCAAAACTTGCAAGAAAAATTAGATAGTAAAGATAAGGAAATTGAGGAGTTGCAGAAGGAGAAAGATGCTGTTGAGTCAGTCACAAAAGTAAGTGTCACTTAACCCTTCATATTCCAGGTTGATCAGTTTGATTGACCTTGTAACTACCACATAACTATGAAACTATACATTATAATTGAAGGTAATAAGTGTATTTTCACAAGTCAGTTGTACACAAACAAGTCTAATTTTTTAAAATGGTATTTTTTACTAAAATTTGTCATTGAGTTTATGAAGCCTTTTCTGACTCAGTCTGAATGAAAATAATTTTCATTTTAAGAATAGAAATAATTCTTTTCATCTTACAGTTTCATATTTCATTTGCATAACCTCTAGAACCTCCTAAATGAATATTAACCATCTCTGCATGGGAATTCTTTACTGTGCATATCACAAGGTTTTTAGTGACTTACATTCGAAATATAATTGAACTACTTGTTGTTTACATTATACCAATTAGTATAGCATAAAATTGTAGCTAATAATCCATATTTCTATAGTATATAAATTTTAAGTTCTTAATTTTACAAGGCAACATTAAAAAAAATCCTGAATTTCTCCTGGTGTGAGAAATGTGACTTTTTTCTCTAGTTTGCTCACCACCAATCCAGTATGTATACAATTTAACTTAAATTACTCACTAAAAAATCATCATTGCTCAGACAAACCAAAGTTTTTATAGCAAGAGGGTTAATTTCATTGTTTTATTATTGTACTTTGGACCCTCTGGATGTGAAAAGCAATCAATCTCAATGGTAGATCTTGGGGGTAGACAAATGATTAGGTTACAGTTCAGTTATTTGTGTACTATCTGATTGATCTTATAAAATTTCCATTTATGTTTTGTTATTTAACCTAAGAAGTTTCTAATTTTTACATTTTAGTTTTACTTTTTTTAAAAGTATATAACAGTATATATACATAAGAAATGAGAAATTTACTACTTCAGCTTGAAACTGTTTGTACTGTGGCTCACAACCTACTTTTTTTTGCTATGTTGATTGTCCAAAAAATTTATGGGGCTTTAGTACATACATTTTAAAACACACAAAATGTATCAAGCATTATAATATAATGTGCCAAAACCACTATAATTTATCTGGGTTTCTATCTAAGCTATAAATAGGTTTAAAAAATTCATGACTGCTTGGATCAATGACTACTCAACACCCATCAAGCTTGCTTTTTGTGTGTGTGTATACTACCATCTGTTACTGCCAAGAATAAACAAATAAGCTGAAGGTTCCTGTGCATTATAGTATTCTCTTTTTATTGTTATAAACATGTCCATCAGACAAGTTAGCATCAGTGATAATTGTCTTGAAATGCATGAAAAGATGGGAGGGGCTTCTCCAGTGGATTTTACTAACTTGTTGGTATCTCAGTAAATCAAGAAGGTAGGAGGTTTAAATTATATTTTCTTCTTTTTCATATGTGTAGGTTGTTTCTGAAAAAGCTCTGGTGTTGAAGCTATAAAATCTAAATGGGAGAGGTTGGAGGTCAAATGTTGTGACAGAAGAGTGAAATTAAGAGTTTAAAACTTAGATGATATTGAAATTTGATATGTTACTATATTTTGATGCCAAGTTTGTTGTTTTACTTTGATAATAAAGTTAACAAAATTTTGAATATAACTGTGTGTGTGTACACACGCGCGCATGCATATACACTAGTTTGCTGTTAAAATGTATTAAGTTTTACAAACAATCTGAAAAAAAATAAAAAATCCACAACATGGACAATGCTACTTAACACACATGTGCTAAACCTCCATATAATTACCTTAATATGTGTATGATGTTGTTTAATAATCAGTGTAATAATAAATACATTTTGTAGAACATTTCAAGTTATTTCATTTATAACATGCATAATTTTAAGTTATCTCTGTGCTGTTACTTCTCCAACTCTGTATATAAACTAGTTAGATATTAACTTGTGATCCATGTGTGCAGCTAGTTGTTTTTTATTTGGAATTTTGACAGATCGATAGAAAATGGTGCTAAATAGTTTTCTACATCATAATAAATGGGAATATAATTATAAAAATTAGATAATTTTAAATCTTAAAATGACTTTCCCAAAATAGTTTCAGTTAATTATAATACATAGTGTAAATATAAACATATAGTATATAACTAGATGTACTTCCACAGGGTTCCTGAAAGTGTTCTGTTTCAAAAGTAAATATAACCAAAATTAAGAGTAACAAATATTTTTATTTCTTGCTTTTAAACTTCATATGCCATGCAGAATGCGAGTGGTTAAAACAGGTGATCCCTCTTAGTAGCCTTTGGCCCCATTTTGGGTGAAAAAAATATAATATGAACAAGAAGGTTGGAAAAGTTGACCAAGCTGATATGCATAGGGTTAAGAAAAAGTAAAATGTCGTAACATGTATGTCCTTTCTTTCAAATGCCAAAATTATATATATCCACTGTGTAATCAGCTTTTTTTAATACTTTTTAACCCTTTCCACATAAGTCAAAGGCCATGTCATCATGTTTGTTGGCTCTCATTCAAAATGTTATTGAACTATTATTTTATGAATTTATGTCAACAAGTTTGGTATCAAACTGTAGCTTATAATTCAAATTTTAGTATTATACATTATTTAATTTCTTAATTGAAAAGTAAATATTAATAAAACACACCTAAATGTCAATTTTTGTGTGTCACATAGTGTACTTAATGCAGCACCGGTTCATATTGTTTGTGATGTCAAAATACAACATCTATAGTTTCGTATGAATTAGGAACTCAAATTACCTATATTGAAAAGTTAGAATATCAAATAAGAACCTCCTATCTTTTCTGTTTGCTTAGATATCGCTCATGTACACAGTGGCCCTGCTAACCTCTTTCCATTTTTGGAAACACTCCCTTATATACATTTATGCATGTGAAATTTAAAATTTTCTGATGCATAAAAGTATTTTTAATCTTTAAATGAAAATTACTTTGCATGTTGGATAGGCAACATGAGAAAAAAAAGGGGGTGTGAGAAAAACATTACTTGACAAACCTTAAGACTTAATAAAATAAACAAAATTGATATTTTGCATATGAAAGTCTTTGATTGTTTACTGATAATCTGTCAATTTTTGGGAACATATGCATACAAATGTAGAAGTTATAGTATTAAAACTATAACAATCACAAAATTGTTACGAGGTCAGTCCCAGGGACCAAACCTGTGCTGGAAGAGATAAGGAAGTCAAAATGAAGATTAAATAATGGTTAAACTTACATTGAATTTAAGCATTTCAAATAGACATATATTCAACTCCTCTCATGAGTTAACATAATTTTATCAGAAATAATGATAAGGCAGTGGATATGCTCATTAAACAAAGTCAATCCAAGAATTCATATTATGTATTAATGATCAAAATATCTATTAGGTCAATGATAAAAGCAGCATGAGTAATTTTCATTTTTGATGGTTTTATTTTGTCAAACTTTGTTAAGTTATAGTCTTTGAATTTTAGTTGAGCAATAACTCAAGATGGTTTCTAGTGACAGTTTTTTTTGTTTTTTTTTAGATAACATTCTAATGTTAACAGTCATACTTATTGTATTTATTTTTTCTTTATTGGTTACATTCTTCTAATAGTTCTGTATTCTGTAACTGATTGGCTTGTATTTCTGGTTATTTTCCTGTTTTTGTACAATAAGTATAATTTTTTAAAGTTACTATTGATTTTGTTCACTTAGTAACTAATTTTTCTTTAATTTTAAAGCCTTTTTGAAAAGTTTGTGTGCAAAATCTTTGTGAATGTGCTTCATGCACTGGCTTTAGCTTTTTATTTTATCGTAATCTAAATGTTCAGTCTTACACTATTAAGATGAAGTCAACCTTGCTGTTGCACATGTATATGTGTTATGTTTTAATGTGCATGATCAAGAACTGTGTATTGCATACCTAATTGTATGATCTCCACATTGTGGGAAATATTAACATTTTAACTTACAAACAAGTTTCATTGACAATTGTGAAGGAACTGGAGCTGTCAAAGTCTCTGTTGGAAAAGGAACGAAAAATCACAAAGGACCTGTCATCAAAAACAGTAAAGCTGGATTCACTGGTGAAAATTGGCCAGGATTCACTCAAGTATGAGCAAAATATCAGTAGAAAACTAGAAGAGGATCTGAAGACTAAGGAGGCAACAGTCAGTCAGCTTCAGGCCCAGCTACAAGCTTTAAAGGTGAAAAGACAATGATTAAAGATTCTTTGAATAGTTACAGGTTTATGAGGCAGAGAACATAGTCTAATGGTAAACAATACAACCACAGAACTGAATACCATATGTAATGTTAGTTTTAGAATACACACATTCTATTTACAGGAACTTTCTGCAATAAATACAAAACTATTATTACAAATAATAACCTGAATGTTGAAGAGAAGTTACTACTACAAAAACGTTTATAAGGGCAGTATTAAGACTCAAAGGACAGGGGGATTGTAAAAACTAGTTAGTAAATAAACTTGGATTTAGACCCACTCTCTTTAATAGAAGTTTCCAAATTTGTGTGTCACATAGATAAGATTTTGTACCCAGTAGTTTGACCGTGTATGGTAAGCAGAAGTACCAGGAGATGAGACATAGTGACCAGTACTGCCCCAAATCCCCATATGTTCATGGATATGTACAGTTAAGTGACATTTGGTTTTGCCAATTTAGGTAGTTTTACAGCTACACATGAGCAAATGATCCATAAATGAAGTGGAGTCATAATACTTTCTTTTGAAAGGAAAAAGAAAGTTTCATCTGATCAGTTGATTTGAAGACAGTTCCCAGTCAAATTTGTTTGTAGTACTTATGTAACAGTTTAGTGAGTTTATTTTTAAGAATTAGTTTTTGTTTAACTAAGGAAGGCATAAGTACATGGACCATTTAGGTATAGTAAGCCGTTTATTATTTATAAGTGGACTGAGTTTCCCATTCAAAAGATCATGAGTGATGGTTTGAAGAAAAGTTCCAAGATGCCCACTTTTCTTAAGAGAAAAATTTATAAATTTTATTTCATTGTTCAGAGAAATAAAACCAAATGTATGAGATTTAGTAAGTAAACTAGCAATCAGGTTATTTGTAATAGAGGAAGAGAAGCTGTCAGAGCCATTGAAGGTTTTTGTGAAGTTTGTGGGCATAGAAAAACCATTTGAATCATGATTTATAAGGATGTCTAAAAAAGACAGGCTATTGTTGTTCTCAGTTTCATCCAAAAGTTATGTTGGAGTGACAAGAATTAAGGTCTTCTATAAATTTAGGTGCCCAATCTTTTAAATGAAATATTACAAAAGTATCATTAACATATCTTCTGTAGTGTATCAATTTAAATTCAATTGGACAGTTCTCCAGCCATGATTGCTTGCAGTAACATAAAAAGGCATTATCAAATGTCAGTGCCACCTATCTAGTCAAAAAGGCAATGAGTGAATAAAAAGTTAGTGTTTGTAATAAAGAGTTCAAGGAATTGTTTAAATTGTTGGAAATTCAAACCATTACAGCTGCAAATTATTTAGATGAGATTATTGAAGTAAATGTTGATAGTTTTAACTGTAATGTTTGTAATAAAAGGAGAGGGGGGGGGTATGTCAAAGTTGGTTATTAATCTTCCTGGACATGAAATAAGGTGATCTCATTAATGAAAGTTAATGAGTCGTTAACTGCGAAGTTGGTGGTAGTATGGGGTTAAAGTAAGGGGACTACAATTTTAACTGGTAATGTTTATAAATAGAAGAAAGTATAGGTCTAGTAGGCAGATCTTGTTTGTATACTTCAGTATACTAACTTTGGTGCCATAGGGTAAATTTGAATAAAAGTAATTTTGGAGATATTTGACTTTTGAAATTTTTAAGGAAATATTGAACTTTTTCTTCTTGTAGGGAAAAGAATAAGAACATCTGTGTCAAGTAGTCTAAATTAAGTAGAGTCAAATAAATAAAGAATAGATTATCTTGTTATGTATTTTCCTTTAAATAGTGCATCAAAATTAAATTTTTTGGTTAAAAATAGATGGTTAGCAAAGAGTTTTGCATAAAAGTGAAGAGAAGATGCAACTGTTGAAATTGTGAAGGTGCTGAACTTTTGATAGTGAAACGTTTTGTGAATTTGATTATTTCTCAGGTTTATATTTAATGATTCTATTTCTTGATACTGATAGTTTTATATATGGTTGTAATGCTGTCTAATTTTTCACCAGGTTCCCACTGCCAATGGCCCTCCTGTCGCCACCACTGTGGAATCGCCAATGTCAACAGAAACAGATGTAAGTAAATAATAAAAGATATTTAAACTATTTTAAAACTGATGTGTTTTATTATATACACTAAAGTTAATAGGGTAAAAAAGTCAGTAAAGGCTGTGTTAATAAAATTATATTTTAACTATTATCTCCACATTTTAGTAATATCAACAATAATATACAAAGATGTTTTATGGAAATAGTGAAGGAGCTGAAGCTGTGAGTTTCAGTTAGGAAAGGAATGAAAAATTAACAAAACTTCTCATCAAAAACAGTCAAGCTGGTTTCACTGGTGCATAGTATCCTCCAAGCCCATCCCATTGGCTGTGGTTTTGATAGATAGATGGGAAGCTTATTAATCCATTCACACTTGTCACTATCTAAATGACAAGGCATTTGACTACCTTAAGAGAATCATGATTTAGATTTTTTTTTTTTTTGTCACAGAACTGAAATATTAAGATGTTTTTAACTAATGGTAGCACACATACCACTTGCATATCTTTTACTGTTAGATCTACTACCACCCCTGTTAGTTCAGGTGATAAGAATAAGGTACAGTCAGTATTGAAAGAAGAACCATTTGAGTACAGTAACATATATCAGTATTTAGCACAATTTTAACAAACTGTATCTTGAATCAGTTTTTCATTTTATTATGTTCTAATGAAAAATATTGTTCATTGAGTTTGGAGAATTATTATGAACAGTCAATTGCATAGTTTTAACATTATTTCTTACAGATCATTTTAATGGTTAACACATTTTTAAAATAAATTAAAATCAGACAAAAAATGTGTCATGATTTCTGTTTTAGATTTTAGACTACTAGAAACAATGTAAATATCAAAGGGCATTATTCCTTTCTCAAACAAAATAATGTTGAGAAAGGTTTACTAATTTTGTTTGTTTTTCTTATTCAGAATGACAGTTTAAACATAAATTGTTTTTTGCTCAGTGTGTAATTAGTAAATGGAGTTCTATGAATAACTTACTGTGATAGCAAAAAATAGGCTTTTGTGATCTAAAAAATTGGTTATTTAAAGGTATTTGGGAATGTTTTGGTTAGGTGACTAGAATATTTATTTTAGGCCTAATATGGAAATAGCTAATACCATTTGCTCAGTTTACTGATTGGCTTTTGTGTATTTTTGAATTCATTAGTGATTTTGTGAATGAAGCATTCAGTATCGATTTTTACATGGAAAAAGTTAATTTTTTTCTACTTTACAACTGAATTACAGGTTTAATATACTGTGAAGTTTCTTTGTTTTTCTTCATTTGATATTTATCTTATTAGTCATGTTTCTCCTTTAACTACTACAAAGCCATACCTACACAAACATTTGTGAGTTCGTAAGAGCCATGCTTTCTGTTATTAATAATACCTGTTGCATGTAGCTTTGTACTCTAACCTAAAGAAACTTAATTTGTGTAGTATTAATGCTGATTGTTAGTATTTGTAAACTGTTTTTATCCGTTTGAAGACTGGGTAAGCCACTACAACATATTAGTGCTAGGTTTTGACTAGGATATAGATTGAAAGTATTTTAGCCATGAAAGATACACAAGATCATATCATATAAACATTATGCATGTTTGTAAAATAGATTGCTAAAAAAAATCAATTTTTCCACTATATTTTCCTTCTCAACGTTTTGTTTGGGGGGGTCAATTAAATGTATAATATTTGATGTTTCATGAATTTTTGTTTTATTAAACTGTGGTAGTTTTTTTTGTTGTTGTTGTTGTGCAAAAGAAGAGTAATGAAAAATACACACCTGTAAAAGGATGCAAGTTTTATAGAGGTGTTCGTGTGCAATGAATACCAAGTACCAAGGAATTTCTCTCAGACCGAGTACATAATGAGTCTTTGGTTTTCAAGATAAGCCAATAAATTTTACATTCTTGAAGAATGAAATATTAAAAACAAGTTAATATCAAAAGGTGAAAGTCAATTTTTTTTCTGTGTTAGAAACTGTTTGAATGTAGCTTACATGGCTTTGAATTACATTCAGTCTGTTACCTAAAACATAGCACGGTGTTAGATGGAAATTTACCCAGTGGTGGAAAGGGTGATGCTCTTACAGTTTAAACTTCTTTTGTTTTTTGTGATGAGCCAACTTTGACATCTTGAAGTAAAAATATTCATTCAACATTGTGGCAGTAGAGCTTACTGATTTTTTATTTTACTAACTGAACAAGTACACTAATATATATGTTTCTATTGTGGGAAAAGATTTTAGACCCCTTCTTTCAATTAAAAAAAATTCAATTCTCTTATCTACTTCCTTCCTTTGGAAGTTAAGAGGGAGGATAAAGGACATATTGAAGTTGACCTAATATAATTGAGTTTTTAGCCATCTGAAAGAATATTTTTACTTATTCTTCTAATTCTCTGCTTTGAATTTGTTTGTAACTTCTTTTTCTCAGCTATGTCTATAACTTCTCACTTTCAGTCTCGGCCAAAAGCTGTCAAAAGTGAAAAATCTAAACCAAAAAAAAGGGTAAGAACAACATTTGAGATGCAAGGGGTTGTTAGCACTATAATGCACCTCAGCATGTTGCATGATTATTTGCACTTTTTTTTGTTATCCAAGCATGCTTGGCTTTCTTATTGTGATGTGATAAGAACAAAAAGCTTTTATTTTATTTAAAAATAATAAGTTTTAATATTTGGTAAAATAAAAAAACTACAGTTTTGGTTAACTTGTCAACCTCCATCTTCTTCAGCACACACAAAAAATTAAATCACAAGTTTTCATCAAGCTTTCAGGGGTAGAGTTTTAACTTTCAAGAAGTTTGATACTTGTCAGTTTTTATCGTTCTTGTAAATTCTTGTAAGGTTCAAGACTAAAAGTGTTGAAACATTTCTTAAACCTGAACACGCACATTATTTGGTTTTTGCAAATGTAAAGTTCTTCAGTGCCTTCATACAAAATTTATAAATTAAAATTCCCTTTTCAAAATAAAATATTTTAAGTTACATCATAGTTTTTCATAATTAGAATATGGGGACAACCACTGTTTAACCAGTGAACATTAAACACATATCTTTACTCGTGTTTCAAAACAGTTGGTACATTTAAAAGTACTAGTCAGAAATTCTTTTTTGGGGGGGGGGGGAGCTTGACCTTACAAAAATCTTCCAACAAAAGTTTGAAGATGTGTTTTATGTACACATGAAATTTACACTTATACATTACCTGCAATCTTGCTTTGTACATACCTAATACAGATTTAAATAGTCATTTTAGAACAGCCAATAGTTACTATACACTTGTATTTCTATCATGAACATTTCTAATCAGGTTCTGTTTTCTGTCTGACTAAACCTTCAGAACACTGGTACATTTGATGTAATTTGTTGATACTAGTTCACACCAGGTTTGGTATTACACATCTAAGAAATATTTCCACTTGGATATGAAGTAAGAATAGGTAAGCAAACAGCACATCTAAGTATAATCACATGGGTTATCTAAGAATTAAACATAGTTTATTGGGTTGCTTCTAGTCCAAAACAAGTGTCAATCGTCTTATTGAGCACTACGTTAAAGATGGACAAACTACAAAATTGTAGTTTTTGATCAATGGCAGTGGAATAATGTGGTTCTTTAAGTTACATTCTTTTGTTCATTTAAGCTAATTATTGATCTTTATTTACACCAATCCAACTTAATGAAAATAATTTTTATTTCTTGATGCTGTATTCTGAAAAGTAATACAATTGCACTTTTTTTTATCAAGTTGACTATAATCGAAACATTACAGTGAGAGATCTTTTAATACAGTTTCTGCAGCTGTTTTTTTAATATAAAAATACTTAATGTTATATGAGCTTACAGACCTCACACATGTTAGTTACTTTTTCTATATTTCTTCTGCTTTATACTGAAAATAAAACTTCTAAAACTCTTCATGTCAACTATTTTATATTGCAAGCAGCAATATGTGCCCATAAAGTAAAAAAAGAAACAAAATTACATTCATTTAGTCTCTTCATTGATGAACTAATAATGGCATTACTCTCAAGGTTAATCATATGAAATTAGTACTGTTGTTATTCATGGCTTCACACAACAATATTGACAAAATGGAACTGTTGTCACTCATGGCTTCACCCAACAATACTGACAAAATGAAACTGTTGTTGATAAAATAAAACTTTACATTAATTCAGATGTACTTTTTTAGTTAGTTTTAATTGACTATTCAAGGCTTTAAATTATTTAATACTAAATGGGAGCCATAGCTCATTGCCTAAGTCTGAATTGACTAAAATTTGGGGAAATGCAGCAGATTTCCAGAGAAAACTTGAGTGAGAGGCTGGTTTCTCGAAGTATGTAATGGAAATATGAAGCTACATTTTAAAACAAGTTTTCAACAAACATAAAAGGGGGTATTTATTTATTTTTGAAACGCACATCTGTGTTCTTATTTTCCTTTCATTCTTTTATTTTTTTTTTTTTTTTTCTAATTTGATGTTGAATAGGTGGGAAACCATCCAACAGGTATGTTTCTCATTCTCATTCATTATTTTTGCATGCTTGGGATGCTGGCAGAAGGTCCCCTTCCCCTACTTTGTATGTATCAGCTGTTGCTATATTGTGGTTGTCACTGTTACTCTGTGCTTCTGGTGTAGTGTCTGTTTCAGCTGAAATTATGCTTTCGGAACAAAATATTCTTTGCAGTGGTTTGTTGAACATCATGTTGAGTGGTGAAGGTATTGTATGTTATAAATACATTACTAAAAGCTGTGTAATCTAACTGTTGTGGTAAATAATTTCTTTGGTTTGAATCATTGCTGTTGCTCTGTATACACCATATATATTGAGTCTATTGGGGAAGCAAAACATGTTTAATTCTGCGTAATAGGAGGAATTTGTTATTCTTACTTCAAGGATGTTAGATTTTAGTTTTGACATAACTTATTACTTCCTTAGGATATCATAATATCTTAATGTTTTGTATCTTCTCCTTTTCATAAACTTGAATAATGAATAAATATGTTTAATGATGTTAAAATTAGGCTTAAATTAAATAGTGTATTGTTCTTTGCTGTTTGTGTTCTTAGTTAATTTTTTTTTCTTTTCAGACACATGAGAGAAATTGTATCTGTCCTTTAAATTTAGTTGTTTTTATTATTCATGTGTCCAATATATATCTCATTTAATTTTCCTGGAAATAACAACAGTAAAAATGAACTATGGATAGTCACTATAAGGATGAACGTTATGCTAGTGTTTATTTGTGCTTGTGTGTTTACTGTAGCCCGTTGTTTCATTACATTTCAAACTTTTTCATTGCAAATCTGTGATTATTAGTGCCATAGTTGAAGATTAACCTTAAGGATTAAGGTTACTCTGCAACCAAGAATTTTTTTTTTGCTATGCTTTTATAAGTTGATTCCATCTGTACATGAGATGCAGTTGATCTTATGTCTCATGTCACAAAGAATTCCTTATATTTTTTATTTGTTGGCAGAATAAGACAAGTATGTAAGTTATTGACTCCAGTTGTATATTATTGTCTAGGAGACTCATACGTTAGTAATAAAGATCACACACACACAAGTTTGTTTCATGATATTATAATATTAAATGTGGTCAAGTTAAAGCTATGGTATTAGCTTTGCATTAGAAATGATAAAGGTGATCTAAGGTCACAGAAATCAGACTCATTCTCATTGCTTTGGTTAAAATTTGATGACGTGACATGACAGATATAGCATTAATATTTGTTGGAATAAACTGTACTTTTCATTTTACTCTACAACTTCTAAAATTTGTTCCTAATACTGATGATTAAATATATGTTTTTATACAATAATCCTTTGTTCTTTAGTTATTCAGTTCTTTTCTTTTAAACATTGTATTTATTTGCCATTAACATCCCTTTGTGTTTCTGTTTTTAACAGCTTTTGATTAACACGCAATTATCAAGAGTTGTGTTAATATATAATTTATTTCGTACATTTTATGAAGTTGTTCAAGTTTTTTTAACACTGGCGTGTATGTTTCTTTTAAACTTTTAAATTTCTTCCATATGTTTCAGTTCTCTGTGTTTCTACTCTAAACATATTTAAAAAAATTCATAGTGTCAGTTACTTCATTGTATTATGACCACCATGTTTTAAAGTTAATGAGGGGCTATGTTAATACATTAACCAAGTTCATTTATTTTCTAACGAAATTCACATTGTGATTGAAATATACATGTTTATATAAGTGCAAGGACTTTGTAATTATAACTGCCCAGAGTCGAGTCTTCTTTCATCTATACATATACATATTCACGGGTTAAATAAAAATAACAAGTTAAACATGGTATGTTGGGTCAAAATGAGCTTTTAGGAGAAGAATTGGAACATAAAAGCATGTACATATTTATGCGTGCAGGTCTATAGAATCACAGTGATTTTCAAGGCACACTCTCTACTCACTGCTAATTTTGGGGGTGGGAGACGTACATCTTGTTCATTAAATAAAAGAAGCTTTATTTTAAGTTAATGTTTGAAATATGTGTTATATAATCCACATGCACTGATAAATAAAATGGCTTGTGGAGGTTTACCATACTATGTATGAATGCTGCTTTGTTTAGTGAGTCTGTATGGTTTATAATAGTTTCTATGCTAGAAAACAGTAGTAGTCGGGGCCAGTGAAATACAACTCAAAAAATAAAATACAATTAAAGTTAAACTTAAGAATAAGTAGCTCAGACATAAAGACTTCTGTTGCCTTAATGATACCAGTAACTTAAACTGGGAAAAACTACATTCATATGAATTTATCATAATAATGCAATGTCATATAATTTATTAGTTAATGTACAGTGGCATGTAGTGAATAAGGGTTAATTCATTTTGGTTACTTGGGAATGGGGGTAGCAGTAGTAGTATGAACCAAAGAAAAACTACATAACTGCACAATAGGAGGGGGGGGTTAGCAAGATAAAGCTTAAGTGTTCTTTTCACCAAGGAGCATTGGTGTATTTGTTAAAATTAAAGATTATCTCCATTTCTAATGAGACAACGCTAATTGATAAAGACTATCCTTTATCTGTAGTTGGAATGTTCTTTTTATTATTGTTTTTGTGGAAAATTTCATCTGTTTTCAAGAATATTCATGCATGATGTTTCTGTAGCCCTGCTTTACACGCATCCTTTTTTGATATTTGGTTAAATCTTTTCTAGAAAACGTGTCAAGAGATTGTACATATTGAAGATAGCTAATTCTGATGTCCATGTACACACACTACAGATGCATATGGTTTTTATACATCATTAAGCATGACAACTAATTACTGAATGATGTTGAGAATTGTCCAGAAAATTGAGGGGTTTTACAATTTATTGTCCTTCCATTGAATACACATATGTATGTGTGTGTGTGTGTGTGTGTGTTAATGCTTTTTTTAATTTCAGGTTTTAATAAGGTTACACTAAGTTCCAAGTTTTTTTTTCAGGGTGCTTCAAATAAGAAATAAAAAGGTTTAACCTGAACCACCACATGAACCAAACCACCTAGCCAGAGGGGTCCATCCATGTTAAGGATGTTGTATTTTTTACCTGTCAAGTCTTGCTTCTAGTTGAACTGCTGCTGAACTCTTTAAAGTACAATACATATATTGTGTTGTCTTGTTACATGTTGACTGTTTGTGTCCAGCAAGTGCTGAATGTTGTTAAAATTGTGAAGTAAATTTTGATGCTACATATTACATTTACATGACTGAACATAATTATTTTATTTAGAAGTGTTGTTAACAAATTCAAGTTTGTATTCATTGACACGTGTTCTGAGAGAGAAGTTCGATTTGAACTCGGTTTACTTCTATTCACTCTCTTTTTTATAAATTAAACATCACTTTCTAAGCTTTGACAGAAAATGATTCTCAACAAGCTAAGCATTTTAATCAACAACTAAGATTAGCCGACCACAATTTTAACAGTTATATAAAAATATAGATACATAAAATTTCTAGAGAAGATGTGTTATTAAATACCATTTGAGCACAAATGTTAAGCCTCTCAAAGTATCTATCACTACTCTTTACAAAAAAATACAAACTTGACATGATATTGTTTATAAATATAAGAGAAGTGTTTTGTTTACTATTTTTTGGGTCTCATGATAAATATTACAAATTATAAACCATTTGTATGGGGTAGTGTTACTCTTGTTATGGTGCTCTTGTTATTTACTTGTATTCAAGACTGAATAAACTTATCATTTATGTGTAATGTTTTGGTTAATGTTGAAGTATATTACAGACTGGTATCCTCTGTTTCTGTACTAGGGAAGATGTATAACAATTATGGCTAAGCTAATTTTGTTTAATACTTGTATTGTGCATAGCTATCAGTTGTGAGTTGGAGTTCCTCCTGATATTGAATTAAAAAAGATTTTGCACAAAATTATTTTGTGTTTTTCTTGAAGTTTTGCTTATGCAGTGTATAAGATTGGTAGAGATGCTGAAAACTCGTCAGGAATTAACATCTGCTTTTGCATCTTAGTTACTATAGTTTGTAATGGATATTGCTTCTGTAAGATATTCTTTATAACCCATCTCAAGTGCAGACAATACCATCAAAGAAACGTTCTACAAACAAAAAGGTCAGTCAAAGGTCATGTCAAAAAGCAGTGTTCCCTCTAAATGTTCTTTGTACAAAGTGGGCTACAAATTCCAGTTAGCAATACCATTTTGTCCTTCAGCAGTCATACGCTTCAGGAGTTTTCTTATATTTAAATAACTCGCTGCCATGTTGGTAGAATTGTGCAATTGCATCGAATATATAAGCTGTAAAAACTGCAAGATAGCAGTGAAAATTGGGTGAGGACCGTTAAAAACCAGGTTTTGATACCTGTGGTGGCCACCACCCAAATATCTCATTGTGTAGCTTCGTACTTAACAAACAAATCATCTGTAAAAAATGAAATGCAATTTAAAAAAATTCTGGAATGTTGAAGTGGTGATAAGTAATACATATTTTATTTAAATGGTGTAATGTTAAATAAACATTACCTGAATATTTAGTAGTTAGTGTTAAAAGCACTAACTTATCAATGCAGTACTTACTTAACTCAAAATCTTGCTTTTTAAGTCTGGGACGTTTTGTTTTTCCACTTTCACGGAAGTAAAGGCAAAATACATATTTTTAAATTATCTAAAAGAAAAATTGTGTATTCTGTTTAAATATTTTTATTTCTCAAAATACTCGTATGTTAATTTTAGTCCCGTTTTTTTTTTTTCCGTATTTCGGCACAGCTTTGGTTATGTCCCATAATTTCTAAATTGTTTTCTTCTGCTGTGAAAACGCACATCAAGTTGTTTATAATACGCTTTTTTATGGTTTTACCAAAATTGAGGGGCTGGTGAGGGTTTAACTCCTCACAACTTTCATCAGTGTAGAATCTTTACGTTAATATGGGTAACTCAGATTTTCTCATTTAGTAGAACTATCATAGCTCATAAGTGCAACATTTTTTATGTATAATTTTGTGAAATATTTATAGAGATCTTAGCAACTCGTGAGATACTAGTTGTGCCGCTACTTGGGAAAAATATACAACTATTTAAAACATGAGAAATGTTTTGTCTTTTAATGCCAAGCTACATATTCAATAAAGAGGTATACGCGTGTAAATTGTTTTTGGCTATTATTGCGTGAGAAATTAGTGCGTTCTATGACAAACTTGTCTTCAATCATAAAAATGGTATCTAGTGTCCCCCCCCCTGCCTTTTTTGGCGTATTTTAAAGCTTAATTTAAACTTGGATGACCAATCAAAGGGTGTTTTTAATTTGTTTACTGAATTGCTTATTTAGATAAGATGTATGTGCGCTGAAGAGTTTGTCGAACAAAGAAATGTGCAATAGTTTAATTTTCTTTTTCTGGTAATACCTGATAAGGTTCTGGAAGGTAGGGCGATCGACTAGCAATCTATGGGTCGAAATATTTCACCGAACACACTCGTTCTTTCAAAAGTGAGGACTTTATAATGTGACTGTCAATCTCACTATTCCTTAATCAAGAGTTGGCGGTGGGTAGTGTTGATTAGCTGCCTTTCCTCTAGCCCATCACTTCGAAATTAGGAACAGCTAGCGCAGAGAACTCTCGAGTAGCTTTGCGCGAACTTCAAAAAACTACCTGGTATGTGGCGCTTTAGTGTAAAGTTAAAATTCCGAAGAGCTTTTCAAAAAAGCAAAACGTTATTATCCCAAATCTTGGATTTCTGTTGGTTGTTTACTGATAGGAATTAATGAACATTAACAAAGGAAATTTACCATAATTCTCAACCTTGATGAAAAATGCTTCATCTGTACAAAGCTCCGCAGTGGCTCAGCATTAAGTCTGAGAGCTCACACCATTAAAACTGGGTTTCGATCCCTGTGGCAAGCACAGCACGGATAGCCCATTGTGTAGCTTTGTGCTTAACAAACAAATAATCTGAAATAATAAATTGCGATTTAAAAACTGGCAGGTTGAAGTGAAGATAACTACGTAATATAGCCAGAACATCAATAAGATTTACCTTGTGGTTACAAATAAGAATGCGACTTAAAAACTGGCGGGTTGAAGTGAATATAACTACGTAATATAGCCAGAACATCAATAAAATTTACCTTGTGGTTACAAATAAGAATGCGACTTAAAAACTGGCGGGTTGAAGTGAATATAACTACGTACATAGTAGGCCTCCTTCGGCCAGGTTTGACCATGAATGAGCATCCATCCACTGTTAGCTCATGTTGATCGCTCGTCTAGAGCAGCGTCTCTTGTGACTAAGGAGACCGACACGAGAGTGACAGTCCCGGTTGCAGAGGTCACATATGTGCGTTGACGCTGGATTGTTTGCTGCCTGTTCCTTTTGATGCGCTCGCTTCTCTTCTGCCGCCACCGTCAATTCCTCTTCACCGATCTTCAGCTGTTTACGGAGAGTGTTTCTCCAGTCGGCAGCGAGGTCCTCCCAAGTTTCGGTGTTAATATTGAGCACCTTCATGTCTCTTTTGCAAATATCCTTGTATCTCAGCTGCAGGCGGCCGGTGCCTCTCTGTCCTTCGGCCAGCTCTCCGTAGAGGATGTCTTTTGGGATTCGTAATATAACCAAAATATCAATAAGATTTACCTTGTGGATACGAATAAGAAAACAATACGAACGTTTTGTTATATATATTATTGAAAACAACTTCAGTTAGCTAATGTTCTATGTTACTGAAATTCGGTAAAGAAAATTTTCCAGCTTCACCTAGAGATTCGAGGTGGAAGGAGCTAGAGGTTAGCGTATTGCACTGTGAGATCTATGTAACGTTCCGTTACATCAAAATTGCGCTTCGCACTTCTGGCCCATGGCTTGTTAGAAAATGACGATCAGTCATATCTGACTATGAGTAGCCCAAGAGTTAGCGGTTGGTGCTGTTGAGTTAACTGCTTTCTCTCTTGCATATTAGTTCAAGATTCGGAGTTGATTGCGAAATGGCTTTTATGTAGCTTTTCGCGAACTTCTGAAACAACTGTTATGGGGTAGGAAACTTTTCAGCAACGAGAAAAGGTCTACAGTGTTTATTTTTCTTATAGATTTCTGTACTTAAAATTCCTTAACATATCACTTTAATATGCTAAATTGTTGTTTCAACGTATGTTACAAAAATTTAGTGCAAATATTTTTGAGACTTAATATCTAAGTTGTATGGTGAAAATAAAAGTTTAATTAAGTAGCTAACACTGGTGGTGAAATAAAATAATATTGTTACTAATCCATTTAAAAGCTGGTTTGTAAATGAAGTCAATAAAATTTATAATATTTACAACAATCTGAGGTACCCATCCTTTGTCCGGATTATGGACTTAAAATATAGTGGGGATAGATGCTGTGATAAATAACAGAAAAATTGTAACTTTAAAACAACTTATTTATAACGGAACACATTATTACAGTATTCAAAATTACCTCACCCAAAGTTTTGTATAAGCTTTAAGAATTCAATGTGTATGTCCTTTAAACATGGTTTACACTGTGCGACGATCAGGGTGACTGTAGGAAGAGGTAGCGCCCAAATTAAGGGTGATTTCTGTTATCCGATTTCAACACCCAGCTCTTAATGTCTTTCCACACTGTTTCACCTTATTATTTAATTGTTGGTTATTGGTTGCAGAAGTGTCTTACGGGCCGAAGTTGTAAGGTCACGGGTTAAAGTAGGAAGTGGGCATAAGTGAAGAAACGGCTCTTCATATCAGCCTGTTGGTGTAGAAACTTCATCTGAGTTTATGTATTATTGCAATTGTGGCGGCCATTTTTATCTCATTGCAATCCTTCACAGAGATTGCTAGCGCACTCTCCGAGGTATATAAGACGTTTTTGTGTACCATATCCCCCTCCCACACACACACGTTGTGTGTATATTGTGCTATAGAAAATGTAATAGTTCTTTTTTCTGTGTAAGGACGTGGCGCCATCTATGAATGTAGTCAACGTTTACTTACACCAAAGATAACAAAT